ATGCATCAATATACCAGACAGTGGCATCCACTGCTAAGGAGTTTAAAGTTAGAAGCAAGCAAGGGTTGTGGTACATTTTTCATTAAACTATGTTATGCTCCTAGTATCTGCTTAGCTGTATTGTAGAGAAACTCACATCAGCACATCTCTGGGTTTCACTCATAAATTTGATTGTACATCTTGAGTTTCATGCATGGGCTTCCTTTACATCTGTGACATATCTTAAATATTTGCACTCTAAAAGAAATGCAAATGTTAAAATGTCCTGATCTACTGATCATTAAGAATAATATACTGAAAGAATGAAAAATTAGCTAGTTTGTTTGAGTATATGGAGAGGACGAGGGGTTAAACAATGTATACAACTATTAATTTTTAATACACTTTCATTGTAGGTTACCCACTACATAAAAATTAATTACTTGTAAGACTGTGCATTTGCCTCCCCCAAATACTCTCCATAAGAGCAACCATATTTTTTTTTAAATATTTTTTGTTTGTTATAATAAAATACTCATAGAAGTATGTGCACTAACTCATCGGCTATCCATTATTCTATTCATTTTGTTCACCATTGTATTGGAAGAATTATGTTCCAGTTTGGTTTCTCTTGCATGCATTGAATTCATGTATATTTCTACTATTTTATAAATAAGTGGAAAAGGAAACAATGATGTTTTAAGCTCCACTGTTGAAATTCAGGAGACCAGCGGAAGTTTTTTCCCCACTTCAATGAAAAATCTCCAGAACAAAGCATGAAAGAATGTATACGAAGAGCTTATGTCCATCTGAGTATAATGGAAGGGTTTTCTGTCCTACTAAATGCTTTAATCATATAAAATGCAAAACAATTTCTTGGAGTTTAACAGTGTTCTGGTTTGTGTTGGGGTGGAGTGGCCTCCCTCCAAGCTGGATGGTGAGGGACCACTCTCTGCACTGGGTGGGTGGAGCCAGGCTGGGCCCGGCTCTCGTGCTGGAAGTTGAGAAGTGGGACAGGAAGTATACAAGGCAGGGCCTCTAGCTCAGTTCGGGGGAAGCCAGGGGAAGAGACAGATGCTTTTTGCCTGCTGCAGCCCTTCGGACCTGGCTGGGTAGCACCCTGCCCTCGGAGGAGACCAAGTCCGGAAAGAAGCTGCTAAGCTTGCCGGTGGCTGAATATCCAAGGAGACAGAAGACCCCTGGACGCCAGACCCCCTATCTGGATTGTGGTAGGAAGAAGCCCAGGGAAACCAGACTTTAGTCCGGTTTTGCTGTTGGTGCTCAGGTCAGCATGTTTCAGTGGATCCCCGCTGACCCAGGGTGGAGCCCTCCGCCAGTGTCAGGGCCCTGGGCTGGGACCCAGTGGAGTAGGGTGGGCCCAGGTCTGCCTACCTTCCGTGCCCACCTTACCCCTGGGGTGGTCGTCTGCCCCCTTAGGCCAAGAGGCCTGTGTTTGTTTGCCTCCTCCCTGAGACAGGAGGCCAGGCGAAAGACTGCCTATTGCTTAGCCCTGCCTGAGGACCTGAGCCCCCTAGACTGTTTGTTGCTTGGCCCTGCCTGAGGGTCTGACATCCCTAGACTGTTTGTTACTCTGCCCTGCCTGGGGGCCAGTGCCTCCTAAAGCCATCGATTCCCTAACTCCTCCCTGTGGCTGGACTGACCCTACAGAGACCCAGTGAGGCGGAGTGGCCTCCCTCCAAGCTGGAGGGGGAGGGACAACTACCAATGCACTACATGGTTCTTACAGCCCATAAAGGAGACCCTTTTCATAGTATAAATGATAGCCTATCAGAGAGAATTTCAATAAAGCACCATGAAGGGAAGGACATCTTATGTTTAACACTGTCAATATCTCTCTTCAATAGTTTCTCCTTATTCATAATGTGGATTGCTTCTGGTTTTTTAAATCCAATTAAATAGCGCTAGTTGTAACTGCAATTTGCATATAGTATATTCTTCCACAAAGTGCTACATCGTGCAATGAGCAACAACCCTAGAATGAGCAATTAGCTTTGATTCATGAAGCCTCGATTTTTCTCATAGCAAAGAGAAGGAAGGATAGTGTTCCTTGAAAGGACTATTTTTAGCATTCCTCCTTGCTGAGATCACAAAGTAGTTGCTAGTTCTATGCAGAATTCAGGGGACACATGATGACTCATTGTGGAGAAGTATAACCTACCTCAGAGACGAATCTTTGGCTTCCTAAGGATACAACAGAAATTGGGCAAAGTATCTTTTATTGATATAGCTAAAGAGGAATGAGTTTAGTGTTTGCCTCTGAATCCAAGTATAACCTGAATAACCTGCAACTATGTCTGAAGCGGAAACTATTCCCAAGATTAGCTCATGAATTCTCAGGTATACTTTATATATATTGAACATGTATTCATTTTCTTACCATATCCAAATTGCTGTGTTCTTGAGGCAATGGTAGGTTATATCAGACACTTGCACTTACAAATTTAATAAAAACTCTTCTGGTTCTGTTCTCTCTGTATTCTTGATTCATGTGTCAGGTTACACAAGGTGGTACTAGTGATGGGGAGGGCAAAGCCTGCATTGGTCCCCGGAATGTTTGGAGTTAAACAAAACAAAAACTCCACCTCTCCAAAGAAATCGGAAGCCCCAGAGCTCTTGTGAGTTACTACTCAGGTCAACATTCACCCCGAAAACCCTGCTCTTTTCAGCCTATGAGGCCAGAAGCGTGTGAGGGTGTTCCAGAATGACAGACTGAGGCCATATCTGCACTACACAATTAAGTCGACTTATGTTAGGTCGACTTACAGCAACTGCAGTAATTACTGTGGTTTTTCATGTCCACACTACCTAGGGTGCCCAGATAGCAAGTATGTAAAATCAGGATAGGGGTGGGGGTAATAGGCACCTATATAAGAAAAAGCCCAGAATATCGGGACTGTCCCTATAAAATCGGAACATCTGGTCACTGGCACTGACTTAAGATGGGCAGGGGGGGGGGGGCAAGGGGGACTGATAGTTACTCCTCTCAGGTTAGCCTGGCTCCACGTGAGTGGCTGTGTCTACACTGGCACTGCACTCACTCATGTGTGGTGCTAAGACTTGTGTAGGCATATCACATGGGTCTTTGTGCTGCAATAAGCTGAGCCACTCTATGAATTCTTTCCCAGAGAATTGTGGGAGAATTTGTCTGTCCTTTTTGAGCACACAGGGGCAATTGTTGGAAGGCACTGGCGGGCAAATGTCACTCGAATGGAGCTAACTTTGCATCTACACTGCAGAAGGGTTGTGTTAGTGTGTTAGCAGCTGATGAGTTGAGCTAATTCAGACTCCAGCCTGTACCCCCTGATGGCCCAGCCAACTCAAGTTGAAAGCACCAGCACACTCCTGTTAAGGGTCTGTGCATGTGGACGGGACTGGAGTAGGGACAGCACTCAAGTTATAACTTGAGTTAACTTTGCAGTGGAGACAAACTCTCAGTCACTGGAAGGAGGACACACTCTTCCCTCACATTGCCTGCTGGGTCATCTGACAGGAAGGCAGCCCTTATCTCCTTCCTGCCTGTTTTACCTTATCACACTAAGATAGTGACTAAAAGCAAGACATGGATAAACAGACAAACAAGGGACAGAGTAACAGTAAATATGGTGGCATTTGCATAAATCATTAGTCTGAGCAGCTGGAACAGTTACAGCTTGCCACTAGCCTAACCAAGGCCAGACAGCAGTGATCTCTAGATATCACAGTAGAGATAAGTTGTAAGGAGGGATTCAAAAAAGGAAAAAAAGCATGTGTGGAGGAGGGGGGGGGGAGCTGCCAAGTTTGACACGAGAATGGGCATACTGGGTCAGACGAATTGTCCATCCAGCTCAGTATCCTGTCTTCCGACAGTGACCAATGCCAGATGCTTCAGAGGGAATGAACAGAACAGGACAATTATTGAGTGCGCCATCCCCTATCATCCAGTCCCAGCTTCTGGCAGTCAGAGGTTTAGGGATACCTGGACAATAGGGTTGTGGCCCTGGCCATCTTGGCTAATAACCATTGACCTATCCTCCATGAACTTATCTAATTATTTTTGAATCCAGTTATATTTTTGGCCATCACAACATCCCTGGGCAGTGAGTTCCACAGGTTGACTGTGCATTGTGTGAAGTACTTCCTGATGGTTGTTTTAAACCTGCTGCCTATTAATTTCATTGGGTGACCACTAGTTCTTGTGTTGTGTGAATGAGTAAATAACACTTCCCTATTCACTTTCTCTATGTCATTCATGATTTTATAGACCTCCAGCACATCTCCCCCTATTTGTCTCTTTTCTAAGCTGAACACTCCCAGTCTTTTTAATCTCTCCTTGTATGGAAAGTGTTTCATACTGTTAAACATTTTTTCTGCACTTCTGATATATCTTTTTGAGATGGGACAACCAGAACTGTACACAGTATTCAAGGTGTTGACATACAATGGATTTATATTGTGGCATTATGATATTTTCTATCTTATCTGTCCCTTTCCTAATGGTTCCTAACATTCTGTTAGCTTTTTTGACTGCTGCTGCACATGCAGCAGATGTTTTCAGAGAACTATTCACAATGACTCCAAGCTCTCTTCCTTGAGTGGTAACGGCTAATTTAGACCCCATCATTTTTTATGTATAGCTGGGATTATTTTCCCTCAATTTTTTTTATTAATACTTTCCTCTTATCAACACTGAATTTCATCTACCATTTTGTTGTCCGGTCATGTGAGATCCCTTTGTAACTCTTTGCAGTTAGCTTTAGATTTAATTATTTTGAGTAACTCTGTATCATCTGCAAACTTTGCCACCTCACTGTTTACTCCCTTTTCCAGATCACTTCTGAATATATTGAAGAGCACTGGTCCCAGTACAAATCCTTGGTTGACCCTGCTATTTGCTACTTTCCATTGTGAAAACTGATCATTTACTCCTACCCCTTGTTTCCTATCTTTTAACCAGTTACTGATCCATGAGAGAACCTCCCCTCTTATCCCATGACTGCTTACTTTGATTAAGGGCCTTTGGCGAGAGACTTTGTCAACAAGAACACTATCTCAACCTTTGTCCGCATGCTTCCCTCGTATGGGGAATTTTTTTCTCTGTGTTGATATGGCAGCATGGTGGAAAGCACAAAGATGTTGGTGAGAGAAGCAGATTGAGGTTGGTATCACTGGCAGAGTTAATACAAGAATTCTGACCTCATGATCAGAAATCAGATTTGCAGTTAGGGTGGGCTAAATGGTACAAGGGCTTAAAAATGAAGAGAAGAAGCTTGTGTCAGAACAAGCCAGGAAGATAAGTCTAGCAGCAGCATTTAAAATTAACATGATGGGTTGGGAGGAAGGTTGGAGGCATCTAAACTTTTGGTGTCTTAACTAGAGCTAAACTTTAGGTTTTCTAATTCTTCCCTAATCAGAATTTATAAAATCAGGAAGATGATTTAAAATGTTGGAGGAGGATTTACACACAAGATAAAACTCTCAGGATATTACCTTCTAAATCAGTGGCTTGTCTCTTAAATGCAAAGTAAGGATTTGTAAACCACATTTTCTATTTAGAAAATATTGGCAGGATTTCAAGATGTATTTACTAATCTTGCAATGTGTGTTTTGTTCCTTGGTTAAGTCTTCTATGAGAAATAACTATTAAGAAATAAAAATATTGTGATTAAGACTTGCTAATTGTTACTGTAAATAAAAATGTGAAATATCTCACTCGGATGCTTAGAAGCACAGAGTTGGGTGCAGAAATCAACAGAAAAACAAAAGTGGTGCTTTCTATTTATATGTATTGTCACCAATCCTATATCGAAATTAAACCCAGACTTGTTCCATATACCTTTACATACAGTTGTAAATTTGGGGCTAAATTATATTTGCACTGGCAGCCTTATCAAAACCCCCACTAAAATCAGTGGGAATCTTTTCATTCACTTCAATGGACTTTGGGAAGGGAAGAAGAGGGAATGGGCCTTTACAGCCTCTTGTTCTGCTAGTGAACCCATGCAGGATGATTTGGATGTCTGCATTCCTTAAGAGGAGAAAGGGCCAGCAACACAGACTCTGTCCTAGCAATGTGGTACTGTCTGGATGGCTCCCATCCAGGCCTGCACACTGGTCAGCACCTGGAGGATAGTATTGAATGAAGCAGCCGTCTGTCCGAAGAGTTTCTTCTACTGAGTATACTCTCCCCACCATCCCTGGCATCATAATGCTTCTAAGCCACAATCCCTCCTGCAGTCAAGTTCTCCTCTCTCAGCATGGCTCAGAACAAGTGTTTGGCCTTGGGTAAATGAGATCTAAACTGAAACAACCTGCCATGTGGCTGGAAGAGTGACATTGAATATTTTGATATAAACAGTTTAGAGCCACACAATAGATACCACTGGAGACAGATAAATCCAAAATATTCTGAGATAAGCCAAAGCCTTGCTTTGAAACAATCAGATCTGAATTAAATTATCTACTGAATGCCCCCTCAATGTTATTAGCTCCAGAAAGTTCCAGTATATTCAACCACACAACTCCCAAGATAAATATCCATTCAATTCTTTCTTATTCTAAACTTTATTCCCTGTACTTCTACATTGTGTGGTCAAAATACAGAGTTATTTTTCTGTTTATTTTTTTAATTTCTATTTTAATTTAAGATTTGATTTAGCATACCGTATCCACTGCTGTTTGGAATTCAATAGTGTAGTGTAGTGTAGGCAGTTTATACTGTATCTGAAAATTCAGAACTTTTAGTATTGTTCATATAGTAGCACTGGTCATCCATGGCTGCAGTTATTCAGGCAGATAATAAATGCAATGGATTGGAAGTGACCACTGAGGAGTACATGCTGCAGCAGCTCAAAGACTACAATAAATTACAACATTTAGCATCTGCTATTTAAACCAATGACATTTAAAATCATGCTGGTGAAAAAAAATCAGTCCCAAAGTAGTTAATAGTAGATCTGGTCAGTGACTGGAATTTCCATTCCAGGGCAAATTTCAACATTTGAGGGAAAATATCAGTTCCAAATTGGAATGGCAAGCCAAAATTTCAAAATTACCTATGAAATGAAAAATCCAAACATTTTCTGTTTGGGACCATCAAAACAAAATGTCAAATTGTTTCAATAAGATAAAAACTTGCCATTTTGGCTATCATTTTGATTCATTTCATTTTGATTTTTACAATATAGTAAAATGTATGTTACATATAATACAAAAAATAATATTTTAGTTTAAAAATTGAAACCAAGATCATTAAAATGATAAAGTCAAACTAATTGTTTTGTCATTAAAGGAACCAAGGATCAAGGGACCAAAGTACCCTCTAACCCTTCATCTCTCCAAGATCAGGACTGAGGCACTTTGGCAAAGCACTGGAGGAAGCCTGTACTACTGAGATCTACAACCTATCCTGAAAGATGATCCTTTACTCTCACAGATCTTGGGAGACAGACC